TATTCCTAACTTGCATGTAAGCACCATTGAAGACAGCCTAGAGTCAATCACTCAAGTAAGTAATTTAAACGGAGAGAGTGTGGAAAGGGGGTACCTAGAGAAAGAGGTCATAGGGCATTAAATGCCCTTGTTATTCCATTTACAATATTTCAAAGTAGAATAAATGTCTGTCTCTAGGTGGCTGACGAGTATTTCCAGGCCTTTATGTCTAATTTTCAACTGTGCTGCTTAATGATAGTTCCAATTTTAAAGGTATTCCCAGAAAATTTAAAGAAGTGGGAAATTTATCTTTAAAGTCAACAGAAATCTAAAATTTTCATAGGTAAACTATTAAAAAAAGAAAACCTGTATAAACCTAAACTGCTAACTCACTGTAAGAAAATAATTCAAAAATGAACCTCAATTTCCTTCACATAAGTTTATTATCAAATCAACAATGAGCAAGAGGAAAATTTCCAAAATTATAACTTACAATTTGTTAATTTAAACTTAAAGATACATGAATCTTCTCTTAAACAAAAATGACAGCAACAAAAAATTAAATAAACCTACCACTACATTATGAAAAAATTCAGAAAGATTTCAAGATTAACATTCTTTTATTTGTATTCCCAATGGGACTCAGAAATAAAGCAATGCATCAATGGCAAATAACTGAACCTCTAAGATTCATTTTTAAAGTCCTGGAGGGATGGAGGTTACATGAATATACACAACCGTCAGCACTAATTGAATTATTCCCTTAAAATGGATGCATTTAATCATACGGAAGTTTTAAAATAAAAATGTACACCTGAAAGTTCTATTGTATTTGCTGCATCCAAGAGGACTCCTACACCAAAATCTTGCCCTCACAGAGATAATAAATTACAAAGTATATCATTATAACTATGTAAGTTATGATACCACATTTATTACAAAGCATATCATACATTTCAAAAATCTCTCAATTAATATCTTCTTCCAATTTTTCCATTTTTAAATATTGTTCCTAAATGTAACTGGATGCCCCCACAGCTGAATTCTGTACTCGCACTCCTACAGACCGAAGTGAAATCCAGCAGACACAGGCCATAAAGTGTACTTTTCCTGACAATACTTTTTCTCAGTTCAGAATGACTAAGAATGACTTTGCTTTTATAAGTTTTATTTTGTTAGCAGAGTTTGAGGGAGTTTTCTAAAAATGGACAATTTATACAGAAATGGAAAATCTGTGAGAAGCTTTTTATGTATGCTTATTCATCTGGAAGTCTTGGCCAGACTTACATCAGAATAAAACTCTTTCATAAGAGAAATCCATGTCCCTTAATCATTAGTGTTTAATTCTAATACACTGTAACACTGAAATAAATTTTAAAATAGAATTAATGTATTAGGTTAGGTATACAACTACTAATACATAGTTATCCAAGGGCCTTATTACTGTTCCACAAAAAACTAGTTACTTCATCCACTAGGTTCATTCATTAGTTACTTTACTCATTAGGTAATTTTCTGTTTAAAGTTCCAGTCATTTGTTGGAGCTAAAAACTTCTACATTAACTTTTCATGATTGTCAATAAATGATAATATAATGATAATTTTAATATAATATTTCACAACTTCATTTTATGGCAGAGATCTGAAGCTAGATCAGTATTCTCAAAAAGTACTAACTATAATCAAAGCATCAGACCTCACTTAAACTTGCAAGTGGTTACTCTTTGCAACAGAATTATCAAGAGACACTCACTCAGGATTTTTTAGTCTTTCCTACAAGCACACACACAGTATACACACACCATTAAATTAAACTGTTAAAGGTTTATAAGTATAGTCTGAAATATAACTATTTCATAGCTTCTATAAACCCCTGTGACTATCACTGGTCAATCAACAAAAATGTTAACATGGGACTGTAGAGATGAATGTGATTTAGCTGAAGTTGTTTCTTATCCTATAGGTTGATTCTTATCCTATGGTTGATTCAGTTTTTCTGGCTGGAAAATAATATAATTCTGTATTCTTCTCAAGTTGGAAGAGACTTAGTGAGTTTCTGCTGCGATTTTAAGACATGCAAGTTAAAAAACTGGAAAGTATATTATTCATTTATAGACAGTGAAAATTTCAGTTTAAGCCAATTACTTTAACTAATGGAATATTAAGTATAACTATAACCAATAGGCATGTTAATGAATTTAGTAGACTTTTTCCATTGTTAAGGGAATATCAGCTAAGTATTATTTTTAAGCCACAGTTTTAAATACACAGGTACATGTATATAATAGGAAATTGTCCAAATACACAAGAATTCATTCAACAAATATTTAATGAGAAACTATTATATGTCACTTAGGTCTACTCTAACTCATTACTTTCTTTTAAATACAATTTAGAATACAATGAAGAAAGTGCTTCTTGATTAAACAGAAAAGTTGTCCTATCATTAAAAATCATCAAAGATAAATATAAGTTGAATGCATTATATTGTTTCCTTTACTATATGTTTATTGCACTACCAACTTTTAAGTTTTATAAGTAGGTATTTTACAGAAACTTCCAGAGCCAATCAAAATAAAATGACCTCCAAGGGACTTAATCTGAGTTCTTCAAATAGGCCACATTTCTTCATACTGGTCCCGGTAAACATATGCAAATAGATAATACTTTTGAGTTCGTGCTGATACTAACTTTAAAATGTCTCATGTACTCAAGATACCTAGGTTGTCAACAACTTCCTTTCACCACCATCTCTACCCATTCAAGTTTCCACCAAGTTGTACCACGATCTTTTTTTCCTCTCTTAAATTAGGCCTATCTGCCTACTTTTGCTTTGTTCATACTTCACAATTCAATCCATTCTTGTTAAGTCATACCTTTCTCATACTAAGAAATGTATGCCCTGAAACCTCTTTACCTCTTTTCTAATACCTTGAGAAAATACTCCGTTCCATTTCTGTGAACCAAAGAAACAGTTCAGTCCTTCTGTAATAACTATTTCAGGTGCCTACAATGGGCTACTCACTGGACCCGAGATCAGGAATGGCTAAACATAAAAGCAGTGGCTTACACATACTCTTGTAGTAAGGAAAAATCACTAATTTCAATGTTAGATGAGGTCCCATAAACAGTGTAATCAACCCCGGGAGCTTGTGGAAGTATCTAAAAATCCTGTATGATAAGTGTCTTTACAAATACCACTCACTTATTAACTTGCCTTTCTTCAGGCACTAATATCTGGGATAAATGAAAATAACATCTTCAACAGAATTGTTTTATATTTAGTTTCACACTAGGACTGATTTTCTAATACCTCTCAAGGTGACAATAGTTTTTTCTGTTGTGCATAAAATATATCCTTAAGCTATAATAAAAACCCAGAAGTCACTTGATAAATTGTTTCCCAAGGAAAATGGATACTAAATTTTCAACAACCCACTGAAATAAACTTCTAATATACAAAGCACTTGTAAATTGGGGCTGACTTATTCTTTGTTTCTATATTTACATTCCTCTGGGCTTAAGAAATGGAACCATCACTGAGGTAACACTAGCAAATGACTAGTTCAAAATAAAAAAAATTTTCTGAAGACTGTCAAGTTGAATGATAATTTTTCATCTGTTTAAGGACTGAGTGTGGGAAATTATGTGAAGAATTAGAAGTTGGTTGGTGATATTATCTCTATTATGTTTACTTTGGACTTTAAGTGTAAGGTACTGGTCCAGAAAAAGACTTTCACAAACCAGCTGAGTTGCTTCTAACACATAGGTCAGTAGGAAAAAAAAACCCACAAATGTGACTCTACAAAACAGAACCTGTTCTACAGGCTTCTGTACACAGTGGAAATATTAGAAAAAGCATAGCCATTTTACATCTAGGGTATAAATCCTTTTAATGTGTTTTCGTGCTGCAAAAGTTTTCATTTTTGCTAATTTGCTTGGCCCTAAAGGACTCCCTTGAAATCAATGACTAAGGACATGTTTCTTGAAACTAATACAGGGTAGATTAGAAACTTTGCTCAAAATGGTACACCTTCACTCAGTGTATTAATTTAACAGTTAACAATATATACTTCCTTCTTTCCTTCTACAGGAAAAAAAAATGGTATGCTTTCTGTCCATGCCTTTAAGCATATGTATCATTTAGTATGCATATATATCATATGATCTCCTATGTAAAATTATATAAATGAAAGTACTGGAATATAAATAGACACTCAAAGAAATTTTTTTTCTTTGCTCTTGTGCTTACACACTTACACACACACACACACACACACACACACACACACAGAGACCCTTACTTGCTTATAATAGTTCTTCAACAGAACAGCATGATTATATGAAAGCTTACTATCAGCTCTAAGAACAAAATAATTGCTTTATTCCTTCACTTAGAAATCGGTCTGCATTCATTTTATGTCAAATGGTAAATTTTATAGCTAAATTGTCTAATTTTTATTTTCCTTTTAGAACTTTGGAAAAATCAGGATTTACTTAATGGATATCAAAGTAGCTATCAGCATTTAAATTCTATATCCTTCTAATTAATGGTATCAATATTTTAATTTGAATCATGAGAAAATGATGTAATTTACAATAATTTATAAAGTCAAACATCACAATGTTAACTTTAAATTTACAGGCAATGTACAGAAAAAGATAATTTCCTAACTTTCATGCAGTTGAAAGAGAAGCATGAAAAATAGTATACTGCCACTATTTTATTTTTGGAAACTCTATGTAAATAAAAACCCATTTCCAAAATAAGATATTCCATGGACACAGAATAGTTGGTAATGGTTCAAGTGCCTTAGGCAACAGAGAAGTATTGTTTTGTAGTTGTTGTTTTTCAAGCCTCTCCTAGTAACAGCAGTTCATCATGTACAAAGAAACAAGGTAACAGCTAAATTTTAACTATATTAGCAATAACTGTAGAACCTCAAAAAAACCCCAAAATGTACCATATTAGTTTCTTTTCTACAATCCAAACCAGTATAGATAACTTAGTTGATACTCACCAAATGGTACAGAAACACCCAGGCTTCTCTAAGCAATAAAAAGTAGATACATGGTGAGGTGCTGAAAACAGCTCTTTCTTGGGCTCACAGCACTTTAGAGGAAGTAGTCTTTATCTTCCATTTAATAGAGAAAGCCTCCTGTTACCAAAGCGTGGCAGAAAAAAGCGTTTGCACACTTCCGTCTCCACTTTCTGCGTCTCTCTTTGAAGAGTAACAGTTACCACCGGAAAACGTTAGTAGAAAATGATCACTTGAACACTCACACAGAGCAGCTGTAAATTTCCACTCTCCTTGTTCTCAGATTCCAAGCCTTGCTTGTCTCTTAATCTGTCACAGGCAGTTCTGTTTCTGGTCAAACCAGCTTGCTTATTCTTCTCCTTTCCCTGACACGCGCTTTTAAACACACACCACAGTCACGGCTCTCTTTTTTTCTCCCTCCCTCCCCAGTGTGTAATGTCACAAGAATGTGTGTAAGGCAATTAAGCTGTGGCAAAATTAATTCTTGAGTGAAAAGTGAAAAAACCTAGGGATAATAAACATTTTTTCATCACTTTTTCTCCCTTAAATTTTAACTTACCAATGCATAGAGCTTTGTCAACTGATTAAACTGGCTTCACCATCTCTGCTTAAAATGTAAATAAAGATTTCCAACAAAGGCCTGTGGATAGTAATAACAGATTCATCTGCTAATGTGTTAATTCCTCAGGGAAGGTATTTCTCCCAAACATAATAAAGTGGTGCAAGGAAATATGCAAGTACCGAGAACTCCTTCTTGAGATGTAAAAAACAAGGAAGATTTGGATTAGAATGTTTATAATTCAAACAGTGTAGTTTTATGAAAAGTTAGTGAAGTTTTAATACGGTATGTTTTGAAAGCTAGACCAACAGTTATAGTTATCAAGGGAAAATTATAAAGAAAACTGAAAATACACAAAAAGTTAAATAGCTTAATCATTTATTAGAAGATATAATTACTTCATTTGGAAAGTTTTTCCTCCTATATGCATTACTAGTCAGGATGCATAATATCTCTTTAATAAGAATTGTAAGATCTAAAGTGTACAAAAATGTTTAAAAAATTATCATATACCTACAATTACAGAGTAAAATATCTTAAAATTATGGATCTTTGTGTGAGGCGTGGAGATAAGGAATTAGGTAGAAAGCTGAATGGGATGGTGGATGATGGGCGTAGGAGCATTTGTACAATTCTTTGGAATTAGAGGGCAATCTACACAGCTTGGAAAACCTGCTGGCTTTGTACAGAAACTAGTCAGAATTGATCTAGAATTCTATTTCAGTCCCCTTGGCCAAAGACTTTCTGGTTCTCTGTCTCCCATTATTGGTTTCAAATCGAAAGTTTTAGGCCCTTCTTCTGATATATCTCCCAATCACAGAGCTAACAGAAGTACTTGTTAGATCTATTATTAAGTAATATATTAATATTATTATCTGTCAAATTAAAATATCACTAAGAATATGAACTTGAGGTAAAAAGTAAATATAAATAGTTGTTTATAAATATTAAGAAAAATAAGCAAATAAAATTTATTTTCAAGATCTAAATTTCTTAACATGGTTCATTTAAAGTAGAGTCTTAATGCACAAGGTCCTGGGCTCAATCCCTAGCAACACACATAAAAGCAGAGTTTTAAATATATTATAAGGTACCTTGGTTATCGCTTAACACTTAAGAAATAGACATCAGGTATATAATCCCAGCTACTCAGTAGGCAGAGGAAGGAGGACTGTAAACTCAAAGGTAGCCTCAACAATTTGATGATATTCTGTCTTAAAATATAAAAAGGGCTGGATTAATCTGCCAAGTATTCTTTCAAGTAGTAGTTCCATAAAATTTTACTTTTATTTTCTATTTTTAAAGAGATATTAAATGGAAACTATCCTAAGTTAGTAAGGGGTATTAAGTGTCTGGTACCTTGGATATACTCCAAAGAGTTCTAGTAGAATCAAAGAAATTCAAAATTTTTAAGAGTTGTTATTAGAATAACCACTTTAAACAAGGGAGACTATATTAACCTATAATGGACTCAAAATCACTAAGTAAAGTTAAAGAATTTAAAGTATATAGAGGTTAGAGATGTAGCTCAGTATAGCTCAGTGATAGTGTCTGCCTGATCTAGCATCTGCAAAGCCCTAGAGTTTAACCCCCCATGCATATATAATTAATAAGATGACTACATATGATCATGAGTACATTTGATTCCTACTAAACACTATTTTTAAAGGTGTACACAAAGGAAAAACCCTGAATAATTGAGAAACAGACAACGTAATTGAAGTAGTAATGAAATACCTACCAAGAAAAGCCTAGGTCCTGATGGATTCACTACTGAATTCTATAAAAACTTCAGGAAAGTTCTAACACCAATACTACTCAAGCTTTTTAATGAAATTAAAAGAGAAGGAATATTTCCAAAGTCATTCCTGGAAACTATCATTACTCTGAGTTCCAAACCAGTCAAGAATCCAACCAAAAAACAAAACTACAGGTCAATCTCTTTAATGAATATAGACACAAAAATCCTCAAAACGTCATTGGCAAACTGAATGCAACAAATCAAAAAGATCATATACCATGGCCAAGTAGGCTTCATCCTAGGGATGCAAGGATAGTTCAACCTAATACCAAATAATAAATAGAAGGACAGAAATCACATGATTATCTCCATAGACACAGAAAAAGCTTTTGATAAAATCCAATATTCTTTCATGATAAAAACACGGAGGAAAATATAGAAGTGAAATAAAAGATAGGGTGTAGCTTAGCTGGCTAGGAAGAGAGGTATGGTAGGATCCCAGGAAATATGCAGGACTGCCACTCAGAACCCATATGTAGAATTTCTTGTGGGTTCCCTAAGATGTGAACAACATAAAGACACAGATGCCATGAGGAACCTGTTATCATGTCTCTTTCACAGTAGCCAACCCTGAGTCTCCAAGACCTATGATGTACTTTTACTTTTATTTTTCTCTTTCCCTCTTGCTCAGCTTAAGTTTACTCTACAGAGCCAATTTCTTCCTCACCCCTACTTTTCAAATAAACTTTTGGCACAATTTTTGTCTGGTCTTGTTAAATTCTTTGAGGTGAGAAAAACCTGGGATACATTTAATTGGTGAGCCATTTCTAAAAGGAACTACCCAATAACAGAAGGACCTTTTCTCAATCTAATAAAAGCCACTTATAACAAACCTACTACCAACATCATATTAAATGAGAAAAACCTAAAAACTTTCCCTGTAAAATCAGGAACAAGACAAGGATGTCCATTATCACTACCCCATTCAACATAGTACTCAAAACATTAGCAAGGGCAATTAGGCAAGAAAGAAAATAAAAAGGATAGGCATAGGAAAAGAAGAAATCAAATTATCATTATTTGCAGGTGATATGATCCTCTACATATAAGACCCCTCCTCCTGAAATTAACCAAAACTCTTAGAAGTAGTAAGTAACTTCAATAATGTTGCAGGATACAAAAATCAACACACAAAAATCAATAGCACTCCTGTACACTAATATTGAACCCACACAGAGAGAAGCTGGAGGGGGGGGGAAATACCATTTACAATAGAACCAAGAAAAATCAAATACTTAGCCATTAACCTAAGGAAGTGAAAGACCTCTACAACAAAAAACTATAACACTCTGAAAAAGAAAGTTGAGGAGGACTCCAGAAAATGGAAAGATATCCCTATTTCAGGATAGGCAGAATCAATACAGTAAAAAACAAAAAAACAAAAAAACAAAAAAAAAACATAGTTTCAAAATTAATATATAGATTTAACACAATCCCAATCAAGATACCAACAGAATTTTTATTCTGCATTTTAGGATTGGGGAAAACAATCCTAAAATTCATATGGAGCCAGAGGAGACCCAAAATAACAGAAGCAATTCTGGGCAAAAAGAACAAAGCAGGAGACATCACAATCCTAGACTCAAAGTTATATTACAAGGCTACTGTGATAAAAGCAGCATGGTACTGGTACAAAAACAGACATGAGACCTAAAAGGAACAGAACGGACAAGGCAGAAAAATTTGATCTTTGACAAAGGGCAAAAAACATACACTGGAGGAAGGATAGCCTCTTTGATAAATGGTGTTTAGAAAAAGTGGCAATCCATATGCAAAAGACTGAATCTAGACACATATTTCTTACCATGTACTAAACTAAGATAAAGTGGATCAAAGACAACCTAAAGAGTCTGAAAAAAATCTGCCAGCTATTCGTCAAAGGACTAATATCTAGAATATATAAAGAACTAAAAAGTAACTTGGATAACATTGGTACTACAGAAGAATCAATGACCAATAAATACATGAAGAAATGCTCAACATTGCAAATTAAAACAACACTGAGATTCCATCTCACTCCAGAAAGAATGGCCACTTCAAGAAAACAAATAATAACAAGTGCTGGTGAGGTTGAGGGAGCTGGGATGAGGGTTTCTCCACTTGCAGTGTACATGTACAACTACTATGGAAATCAGTATGGGGATTCTTCAAAAAACTGAAAATTGAAATTCCATTTGACCTAGCTATTCCCCTCTTCTAGGAACTTTGGAGAGACAGTGAAAGTTATCATAATATAGTGATACATGTTATCACTACATGCTTATAGCAGCACAACTTATAGCTAAATCTTAGAAGTGCCCTATGTGTGGTATATATACACAACAGAGTACCACACTACTTTGCCATAAAGAAGAATACACTTGAAGGATTTGTAGGAAAATGAAGGGAACTTGAGACCACAATGTTAACTGAAGTAAATCAGACATACAAGCTTGAATATCACATGATTGCTCTTATATGAAAAGCTCAAGTTATAAACACCAATATAAAAGATAATAGGAAATAGGGAGATAGAGCTTTCTCAAATAGGAAGGGGATCAAAAGGTGGAGGCAGAGAGGAGGGAAAGGAGATGAAAAAAGGAGTTGGGATGTGTTATGTACATGAACAAACTCCACACAAGGAATGTAAACATTATGTGCTACAAACGCGTAGTAAAATTTTTTCAAAAGATGCATACAAGGAAATCACAGAGCATGACCTTATTAGGCTACAAAGAAATCTATTTACTATTTCAAAAGAAGAAATGGGACAAGCTTCATTCTCTGACTAAAAGCACAATAAAAATAAAAGTTATTTTAAAATTTTCAACAGATCCGCCAATATTCTTTTAAAACGTTAATACTTAAAATTTAAACAAAAAAGAACATTCTTCTTAAATTATTTGGACAGAGAATAATTATACAGTTTTGGGGACCTTTAATTCAGGAAATGATGGAGTAATGGGCTGGATTTACTTTTCTGCCTTACATAACTAAATAAGGACAAAATATACAAAACAAT